AAAGAGCGTGCACGGCACAGGCCATCGCCCTGGGCGCGGTCACCGCCGCTGCTGGTCTGCCAACGCGCACTGCCGCGTCGATCGCGCGCAATGCCGCGCCGGTCGCGTCCCGCTGCCACGCCGGTTGCGTCCCACCGCTGCGCCTGTGCTCGTGCACGGCCTGGCGCTGCGTGCCAAGTTCGCCTGCCACCGCTGCTGCTTGCCTGCCGCCGTTGCTAGCTCGCTAGCACACCAAAGCGCACGCCACGTCTTCGGGCTGCCGTGATTGCGACGCGCGCAGGGCCTGGCGCTACTGCCTTGGCTGCCTGCTGCCACACGCTAGCGCGCGGGTTGCCTCGCCGTGCCTGCTGCGCTGCGTTCGGACCGCCGACCGGGCTTTGCCGCACCATGCCACGTCCTGCGCTGTTTGGCCGGAGGCGCACGGGTCCCGCGCTACACACCGCCAGCGTCCACGCCCTTCATTGCTCCGCTGACTTCTCTTGGCCGCTCGCGCGAAGGACGACAACCTGCTCCCCATCACCTCGGCGTCACATTTCGCTGTGTCCCTTCGTCTGGCGCTGCCCACTGCGACGTCGCACCCACCTCGTCGGCTTACAGCCGTGGCCGTGCGGATAGCCGCCTGGGGCACGTCCCGTTGTCCCCCATCGTGTTGTGTGTCCCCATGGCCGCCGAGACATTTCCTTCAAATTCGCCGTGGTAGTAGTCCCTGGTTACAAATTGATCATGCCCTCGACTCCGTTAAGTATTCCGCAGCCCTACCGACCCCACATTGCCGCTTGTTGCTCCGTACCGTGCTTCAATTTTGTAGTGCCGCGCCGTCGGATCCTTAAGACCAGGGTGCCCTACGCCGTCGGCTAACCACGCGACCATAGCATCCCGATCCAATTCCTTGCTTTACTAGCCTCTCCGCCAGTTGGTCGTCACCATGCTCGCCACATCCTAAGCCCTACCTCCGTTGAGCAATCCCTGGCATAGTCGTGCCATCGCCGTGCGCCGCCGCACCACATCGCGCGCACGTGGCCAGCTCGGCTCGAGCCATCTCCGGTCGAGTCACCGCGTCGTTCGGTTTCGTGGTGAGTCGCTGGTGCTCATTTGCTACTTGGTTTGCTCTGGCCTTGCTGACGTTCACCGAAACGGCACCGCCGTGATTGCAGGTTTGCCGTCGTCGTGGTCCGACCTCCTTGCTGCGTCCCAGTTCGTGTTTCCTCCACCAATCGCTTCGCGTTCGCTCCTAGGTATGTGTCAGCTCGGTTATTGAGGCGGGGAAGGCGGTTGTGGCGGCGTGTGGTTTGCCGATGCCCCGGTAGCCGCTGGCGTCGGTCGCGCACCTTTGGCCGTAGGGGGGTGTCATGGGGTGAGAGGATAAGAGTTTCCAAGGGTGTGGATGTAAAACTGTAGACTAGCGAAATAGTACCATAGAGCTTGTAGCAAATACCGAATAGTGTGGGGACGCTTTTGCATGATGCCGTCGTCGTCGTGAGCCCTTTCCCCGTCATGGGCCGTTGGTTACTGGGCAGCGCCGTGGTTATTTGCAAGGCAAGGAAGGCGAATAGTGGGCCGAGCCCAACATGAGTGGTGAAGGAGTAGGATTCGGTTTCCGTGATTTCCAGTAAATAAGAATTGTTTATTTATTTTAGTTATGGATTGAACTTCAATAAATCTTAGTAAATTGCGTAGTTGTCCAAAAAAAAGTGAGATTAATTTTGTTATGTTCTTAAAAGCACCATCTACTTATTAGTACAGCTTAGAATGCAATTAGTCAGAATGGCAGTATTGGGTCATAAATTTCAAACTAGAGTACTAATATTAGGTAGGTTAATACTTGTAGGAATATTTGTGGAAAATTGGTGATAACTATTGACATAAAAATTTTACAATAGACTTATTAGGTTATTAGGTACTTCTTGTGAATTTTGTGGTCTTAGAATGGGTTGTTAAATACGAGTAGATATTACCCTTGTTTATTTGTATATAGCATAAATCAACGTTAGGAGTAGAAATACCATAGGTGGCTATAATAATGATGAATGTCATACTTTACACTTGTTGTCCATAGCAATAGCTTAGTAGTTAAATCAATGTCTTGTTATTATAAAAGTCATTGATGTTATATTCTTAAGCATTGCATCATTATTTCATGTAGATCACGAACTGGTAGATTTCGTGCCCGTCGGTGAGCCGGAGCACGACGAGGTGATCGAGGAGTATGAGGAGGAGATCTTTGCACAGGAGGACGCTCAGGAGCCTGTTGGTGCCGACCTCTTTGACCCCACGCCTATCCAAGGCAAGCCCTGGTGCACAACCTATATTTTTATGATCACTGAATATATATATATATATATATGTGATGTGCATTTAAGTTACAAGCATTTTATGGAAACTACATATATAAATATATCTATCCATGAGTCCTACTAGTACAGGTCGAGTAGCTGCTATGCTCAGGATATCGGTAGCGTGAGTAACCTGCCATTACTCGTAAATAGGTAATAAAATATGAACCCTCATGATAAAATGATGGAAAGGTAAATGGTGACCGAACAAGGATATGGTTTGGGTATTGGTGGGTGTAAAGGGTTGTGTCCTGCGGCCAATAGGGCATAGCTTGGTTACACTTTTTCCCTGTCTGTGTCGATTAAGGACCGGTCATTGCATAAGGCATCGTGGGCAAGTCACAGATTTATTGTCCCGTGCGCATACTTGGGTATGGGCGCAGGGAAAACTTGTTGCTCTCTTGTCGCGGATCCGGCTCTTTCCGGACCGGCTGATGGGAAGAGGACGTGGTGGAGGTCCTTGCACCACACTGAGTCCGGGACTCAGGATGTGGGGGCTTGGAGTCCAAGTTTGGGCGGGGACACAGACACCGGGGCAGAGGAGGGTGATGGGTTAGTCTTGCTTGTGCACAGGGTACAAGCGGGGTGTGTTTTCGGGCACCAGGTGGGGCATATTGATTCACGAATCGCCGGGCGATCCGGTACGGCTTGTCTCGTGTTTAGCACGGTAGTAAGAACTGAAAGTGGAAAGGAGAAGAAATAGAATTGATTGCTCATCCTGCTTGAAAGTAGAACATGTGCTTATATAGACTGGCTAGATGATAACTTAATACGACTGATAATAATAAAATATAATTAAGGACTCATTATTAGTATTGCTTTCTGGTAAAAGAAAACCAGCAAATCATAAAGCCTATCATATTTCTTGGAGTCGAAAAATTATTCCCACTAGTCGGGTAAGTCTTGCGAGTACATTGTGTACTCAGGGTTTATTTACCCCTGTTGCAGGTGATGCTTGAAGAGTACCTTGTGTGGAGGATCCTTCTGGTGGGCTCAGATGGATTCCTCGCCCTCCCTTATCGTTAGATGTTATGTTTTTAAATTCCGCTGTTTATCATTCCGCACTCTGGTATTTGGTATTGTAATAATGTACTTTTTAAGAAACTCTAATGTATGAAATGGACTTGTGTTGTAACTCGTTCTTATTATTGGATCCTTGGGAAAAGTGTGGATCTTTCGGGTTCTCCCTCGGGGTGTGCCCGACGGACACCGCTCGCTGTAGCTTGCTTTCGGGGTGCTTAGTGTCTGGTGGAAAACGAGCGCCTCCGTAAGTACGCTATTTCGGGCGGTTCTGCCACATTGTTCATCATGCCCAGCAGGAGACGTGAGACTCTAATTCTTCTAGGGATTTGTTGGGCAATCGATGTCAACATGAACTCCAATGGTCTCCTCAAAATCCACCATAATAACTAAATCATTACTGAACATACATGGGCTAGCCCTATGTTTACTCGCTCCTTGCTAGAACAAAGTGATTCTCTCCCAAATCCTAGCATACAACTCCCTTAATCGAGCACATAATTTTACCTAGGGATTGTGGCAACGCCTCTGCATGGAACAGTTTATCCGAGAACACCTTGACAATCACGTGAGGTTCTATCGCCCTTAGTTGATCATGACCATCACCTCCGATCTTTATCCCTCTCCTCTTCGCCACCGATAGATTTACCTTCATCATCAAATGTTCCATTGTCATCTACCCTAATCGTTTCCAAGATCCATCACCCGCTCTAAACAAGGATGAGAGAAAAACGAACGACCAATTTATGGTTAGTAGATCATGGTTGGCCCAAGACGGAGAATATACGTGGCTGAGAACGAACTTGGATGTGTAGGTGATCAAATCTCCCAGAGAGAATCGACTAGACAGAGATGTGGAAATATGGAGAAAGAGCCCTAATCGCCTGAACCAACCTTGAACCTTGAGTCGTGTGGGAACCCTAGGCGCTAAGGATCTCGAGTCTTTCTCACCCATGTTTCATTCTTGTTTTTTTATAACGTCTGTTTCTTTCTTATTGGACTGCACGAACTAAGTTCAAGTTTTGACTTGACATAGATGCTCGTATTTTCTTGATTTATTCTAGAATTTAATGGTGCTATTTTTACAGTGGCAGGCGATGTGCCGTTCGATAACGAGGCACCTATAGTGACCTTGTCAATCTCGAGATTTATCGTTCCAACTCAGTCCTTCGAAAGTGCTCATATGGTAGGGCATTGTGTGTACGTATGTTCATAGATGTGAGTGCATACTCAATGTGCCTGTGGTGCCTTCATGCATCTTAAGATTTATCGGTCTGACTAAATTATGTGAATTTGCTCATAAATAATGTTATGTCTTATGAGCGTTTGCCCGTTTGTACTGGTATGGTAAAAAAGATTCTTATTAGAGTGCGACATGCAATGCAGTGAGAAAAGACAAGAAAAGAACGGCTGTCTTCCTTGCTCTCTGAAGGCGCGAGCGCGTGACCCGTCAGGCCGTAAACCCCGCGGCCTCGCTTTGAACCACCCAAGAGCCAGCCCATCAAACAAACAGGGAGACGACACGGATATTCCTTTTTTTTTCCCTCCTCACAATAAAACACCGCCACCACCTTAAGATCCGATCTCCCCCGCCTCCCCGTCCCAAATCAGCACCACCCAAGGCCCCATCCGGGCCACGGCCGCGCAATGCCGCCCTCTGTCGACGCAATGCCGGCCCCCGGAGACGCCGCTAGCGCCGGCGACGTGCGCATGATCTCCTCCAAGGAGCTCCGCGCGCACGCGTCCGCCGACGACCTCTGGATCTCCATCTCCGGCGACGTGTACGACGTCACGCCCTGGCTCCCCCACCATCCGGGCGGTGACCTCCCGCTAATCACCCTGGCGGGGCAGGACGCCACCGACGCCTTCGCCGCCTACCACCCGCCCTCGGCGCGCCCCCTCCTCCGCCGCTTCTTCGTCGGCCGCCTCTCCGACTACACCGTGTCCCCCGCGTCCGCCGACTACCGCCGCCTCCTCGCGCAGCTCTCCTCCGCGGGCCTCTTCGAACGCGTCGGCCCCACCCCAAAGGTCCTGCTCGTATTGATGGCCGTCCTCTTCTACGCCGCGCTCTACCTCGTCCTCGCCTGCGCCAGCGCCTGGCGCACCTCCTCGCGGGAGGGCTCATCGGCTTCGTCTGGATCCAGTCCGGCTGGATGGGCCACGACTCGGGCCACCACCACATCACGGGCCACCCGGTCCTCGACCGCGTCGTGCAGGTGCTCTCCGGGAACTGCCTCACCGGCCTCAGCATCGCCTGGTGGAAATGCAACCACAACACGCACCACATCGCCTGCAACAGCCTGGACCATGACCCGGACCTCCAGCACATGCCGCTCTTCGCCGTCTCCCCAAGCTGTTCGGCAACATTTGGTCCTACTTCTACCAACGGACCCTGGCGTTCGACGCCGCCTCCAAATTCCTCATCAGCTACCAGCACTGGACCTTCTACCCGGTAATGTGCATCGCCAGGATAAATCTTCTTGTGCAGTCCGCTCTCTTCGTTCTCACCGAGAAGAGGGTACCGCAGCGGTTGCTTGAGATCGCCGGGGTCGCCGCATTCTGGGCTTGGTACCCGTTGCTGGTGGCTTCCCTGCCGAATTGGTGGGAGAGGGTCGCGTTTGTGCTTTTCAGCTTTACCATTTGCGGGATTCAGCACGTCCAGTTCTGCCTGAACCACTTCTCGTCCGATGTGTATGTCGGGCCACCCAAGGGGAACGACTGGTTTGAGAAACAGACGGCAGGCACGCTCGACATCCTGTGCCCTCCGTGGATGGATTGGTTCCATGGTGGTCTGCAATTCCAGATTGAGCACCATCTGTTTCCCCGCCTACCTCGGTGCCACCTTCGGAAGGTTGCGCCGGCCGTGCGTGACCTTTGCAAGAAGCATGGCCTCACTTATTCTGCAGCCTCATTCTGGGGCGCAAATGTGCTTACATGGAAGACACTCAGGGCTGCTGCCTTGCAGGCCAGGAGTGCCACAAGTGGTGCCGCTCCCAAGAATTTGGTCTGGGAGGCTTTGAACACCCATGGATAAATGGGATGAGGATATATGAACTGAAGGCAGCTTCTGGTGTTCAACTTTGTGCCCATGCAGATTGTCTGATTGCTTCCCAGTTATTTAGAGATATTGATCATTTAACCCGTCTGAGTCGGGTTGGAATTTTCGTGTTGACAAGTGACTGTCTATCCAGTTGAAGAGTTCATGCTTCAATTGTCTGGTTGTTTGCCGGCTGTTCTGCTCTCCCTATTATGGTAACTATATTATGATGATCCTTGCTTTAAGTCATGAGTGACCTCTGTTTTAAGATTGTCCATTCGATTTTGCTTGCATTGTCAAGATTGTGGATGCTTGATGTTGATGATGTTGTAAGCTTAATGAACGGCTGGTAATATTATGTGGTACCCCTGTATTCTCAGTTGCCGTGGCAGCTTGACTTTCTCTTTGATTTGAAAAACTAGTATGTATATGACAGTCAGTGATCAATTTATCCATATTCCTACAGCATTCCCATTTTCTGCTTTGTTCATGACCTATTTTTTTGGTCCTGTAAAGTGATGCTGTCTTTGTATTGCTCTTATGCATTACGCTAAGTGCAAGTTGAGGTAATTGATAGTGACCCTGTCATACAGCCACTCTTCATAACTTCTCTATTTCCGACAGTTTGTTGAGTGTTTCTTTCTAGAATCAGTTTTTTTTTTCTTATATCAATGAACAGCATAATACCGGCTATGTTGAGAAGTTTATCAGAGTCACCTGCTCAGCTAACCCCACAATCTTGGTATATGCATAAAAGCAAGCCAGGCAACCACTATAGTTTCTGCATTTACTGCTACTGCTACCTCTACGCAGTAAGAAAATCACAAACCTGGACATGATATACAGATGTGCATTGTGGTTTTCTTCCATCACGTACCGTGCCTGTCCAGTGTCCGGACCAGCTTGCATTGCATTGCTGTAATGCTGTGGTCTGTGGCCTGTGGGAAACGCATACAGCTCGTGATCGTGTCCGGTTCCTGAGGTAGCCCCCCTTGGTTTCTGGATCTTGGACCATCCCCTGTCTGCCCTTTGAGCCCTGATAGTTGATTCTTCAATTGTGGTTCAGAGATGCAGCACATGTAACATGTCCTGGCATACTCAGGGCCCGTGTCTCTTTGTGTAACAGAAATAGCTTTATGGCATGTACGTAGGGCTCCATGTCTTGTTGTCAAGCTAGAATAGCTCTTTGCCAGGTAAGCGTACGTTGTGCCTGAGAGAGATGGAGGGAGGAAGCCATGCATCTTGGTCTATCTAATAGAAATTTTTGTGTGAACGTTGTGATAAAACTGTTAACTTGTTCAAAATTAGGACCTGTTTGGATGGACGTCTCCCAGGCAGGAGCGTCGCCAGGCATCCATCTCATCCCCAGGCGTGGCGTCGGATGCCTGGGAACGCTGCCTGCGCTAGGTGACTCCTGGGAACGCCCTTAGTATGTGGGAATATCTGCTATCGACTGAATGGTAGTGCTCCATGGAACAGGGGAAATGCAGCTTCATCAGATGGCGATACCATGCGTCCATGCCGGTTTCCCTACGGAAGCTGACGACCAAATAGATGGCAACGCACGCCACCATGTTGATGGAACCATGCGCATCGGCATTTCTTCTTTTGCAGAAACAACAAACGGGCAGTTACGTATTCTTATCATACTACCTTCAGAAGCGTTCAACATCACGATGTTTCTTTCTCCCTATGGTTTGCCTCGATACCATTGCCATGGACTACTTGCTGCCAACAGCCCACCCAAAGGCCACAGGCACAAGCCAGGAAACCACACCACACGATCATCGGATCGATGCCTGCGACTGCGACTGGCCTGGTGCTGCCAAGAGCATCAACACTTGCGTGTCGATGCCTCTCTGGCTTGCTGCAGCAGGCAGGCAGGCAGGCATTCATCGTATTCTACGCTATTGAGACGGGAGGCAAAATATCTTCTCGCCGGATGCCTCGACCTCGAGAACCAATCTTGGGAGGATCGATCACGTCCATTTGCTCCTAGTTTTTTATTAAGTTATCATGCCCTTGGAGGACACAGAGCATCCTATCCTACACCGACGACGGCGACGAGGCAGTGGCTGTACCTGTAAGATTCCCAGGCGACTCAGCTCGTGACCTGCTACTGCTTGCTATTTCTAGTTTTTACACATTGTGATCTGATCTACTTACACACACTCTATTTCTAGTTTCTTTTATTACTTGCTATTGCTAGTTTTTAGGCCGCGTTTAGATGCAAAATTTTTTGGGTTTTAGCTATTGTAGTACTTTCGTTTGTATTTGATAATTAGTGTCTAATTATGGACTAATTAGGTTCGAAAGTTTCGTCTTACGATTTCTCACCCAACTGTGTAATTAGTTTTTTTTTCGTCTATATTTAGTACTCCATGCATGTACCGTAAGATTCAATGTGATAGATACTGCGCAAAATTTTTTAGAACTAAACAGGCGCTTATTATATCGTTCACAGTTTGCCAATTGCCATGGCCCATGGTGGCTTGGCTCTGCTAGTCATCTTTTTTTTCTTCCTTGTTGACCAAAGCTTTTTTTTTTTTACATATAATAAAAGTGGTACAGACTGATGGTGAACGGAGAAATGACGCAGAGAAAATGCAGTACTCTATTGCTGCTTGATATACTACGTGTACGTCCCGATAACTAGCTCAGCAATAGTATTAGGTTCCTGTTTCATGATCAAGAACGCAAGGAAAGAATTGGGTTTCTATCTAACTAAAAAACAAGGGTAACGTTTCCCTCTGAAAATTGTCATCACATTGAAACAACGTATTCCCTCCGTTACAAAATAAATGCTCATCACGTTTTCAGATGAGCCAAACTTTTTAAAATTTTACCAAAATTATACTCCCTCCATTCCAAATTATAAGTAATTCCAAGAATCTTAGATAGTCAAAGCATCTTAAGTTTGACCAAAATTATAGAGAAAAATAAAAAGATTTATAACATCGAATAGGTATACTATGAAAGTATAATTAATAAAGAATCTAATAATACTTAGTTGGTACCATAAATATTATTATTTTATCATATAAATTTGGTCAAACTTAAGATCCTTTGGCTCTCTAAGATTTTTAGAATGACTTATAATTTGGGATAGAGATAGTACAAAAATATACTAGTATTCGTTATGCATAATAACTATCCTTAGATTGAGTATGAAGTATACTTCCGTAATTAGCTTATTTAGAGATACAAACACTGATATTATTTTCTATATTTATAGTTAAAATTAAAAAAGTTTAATACCTCGGCAAGCGAGATATGCATTTATTTTGGGACGGAGGGAGTAACAACTATTGTGTAAATAGGAGTTTTATTTGAATCTTTGGTCGCAATAGTTTAATCGACGGAGGAGCACGTCCAAATACGAAGAAGCAAAGATGGTCTACGAGTCCGTTCCCAGCGGATTTGATTGGCAGATATCCAAAGTTGGAACTAAAACTAAAGACGATACGATATTGTTTTCATCGGATTTGATTGGAAAGTTTGAACTAAGGTCGGACTACAACCAGTGATTACCTAGTAGTGATTAATTGACTAGTGATTAGCTTAACCCTGTTTGATATACTGACCAATAAATAGTACTACGGGGTATTTGGATCTCTTAGACTAACAACTAATAGCTAAAGTTTAGCCCTCGATGATCCAAAGAGGTGGACTCACAAGTGAGCTAAACTTTAGCTATAACCCCAACTAGTTAGCCCACTAGTCTATTAAACCCAGCTATCGGGGGCTAAAGTTTCTTCCAACTGGAAAAAAGACACGAGATGCCCTTGTCGTCCAGATCTGCTTGGCTCGCTCGGTTCCTCCCTCGGTTCGCGCCGCTCGCGCTTCAACTGCCCGGCGTTGGTGCCCGCTACATCTCGCACGCCGGCCAGCCGCCCAAGCTTCCTGATCCCATCCGCCCCCTGTTGGCCTAAGGAATGACGCTCCCGCTCTAGTGCAGCCCCAACCCCCAGCTCCGTCGCGGCCCGACAATCCCGCTTTGGCGCAGCCACCGCACCTGCTCCGGCGTGGCCTCCACTCTCGCTCCGGTGTGGCCCCACGCTCCCGCTCCGACGCAGCCGAGCGCTCCACCATGGCTGGCGTGGCCCACGCTCCCACTCCGACACGGCCCCACTGAAAGCTCTAGTTTGGTTTTGGTGAATTGATGAAACCCTAAGTGCTAACCCGTTGTTCTAAGTGATCATGAGATAGGGTAGCACATTCCAAGTGGTGGAGCAAATAGTGAAGATCATGATGGCGGTGATGGCCAAGGTAATGATCAAGTGCTCGGGCTTGGAAAAGAAGAAAGAGAAAAATAAAAAGCTCAAGACAAAGATGATATCCATAGGAGCTCTTTGTTTTGGTGATCAAGACACCTAGTGGGTGTAATCACTTTTAGGATAGATAGCCATACTATTAAGAGGAGTGAAACTCTTATTGAAATATGGTTATCAAAGTGCCACTAGATGTTCTAACTCATTGCATATGCATTTAGATTCTAGTGAGTGCTAACACCCTTGAAAATATTTGTGAAAATATGCTAACACACATGCACAAGATGATACACTTGATGGTTGGCACATTTGAGTAAGGGTGGTGAAGTTAGTGAAGTTAAAATGATCACTGGTGCTGACCGGACGCTGGACCTGCGCGTTCGGACAGTGGTGCAGCAGTGGCGTGGCTTCGGCCTTCGACCGGACGCTAGCGCGAGGAGGCGATCGGACGCGCAGCACCTGGGTCCGATCACGTGGTGACTTACGCTGACGCAAGCGTTTTCACGAGAAAGAAAGGAGCGGACGTTGGGACGCGTTCGGTCATCGTTGACCTGACGCGTCTAGTCCTGAAAATACCTCTTTGGATCGTTTCTGGAAATGATCGGACTCTACGTTGGCGCGGCGTCAGGTCGGGCGGCTGTGCGTTCGATCATGGCGTGAAGGTAGCATGGGGCCGCGCGAGTGGACGCGGTGGTGCAGCGTCAGTTCGTGTCGCGGGTGCGTCCG